CTTTTGAGATAACATGTACCAAAAACTGAACTTCTCGCAACCAAAATTCACACTTTGACATCTTGGCATACAATCTCTCTTGTTTCAACAATTTTAAGAGTAATCTTAAATGATGAGCTTGCTCTTCTTCCGACCGAGAATATATCAAAATATCATCAATGAAGACAATCACAAATTTATCAAGATAGGGACAACACACCCTATTCATCATGTCCATAAAGGCTGCAGGCGCATTTGTGAGTCCAAATGGCATAACCAGAAATTCGTAATGACCATAACGTGTACGAAATGTTGTTTTCAACAGATCTTCATTCCGAATCTTCAATTGATGATAATCGGATCGTAAATGAATTTTCGAAAAATAAGTAGCCCCAACCAATTGATCAAACAAATCATCAATTCTTGGGAGAGGATACTTATTTTTTATTGTCAGTTTATTCAGCTCCTGGTAATCAATGCACATTCTCATTGATCCATCATTCTTATTTACAAATAGCACCGGTGCACGCCATGGAGAAGTACTTGGTCGGATAAAACCTTTATCCAACAATTCTTTCAATTGCGACATTAACTCCTTTAATTAAGAAAGAGCTAATCTATATGGTGCTTGTGCAACGGGTGCTGCTCCAGGAAGTAATACAATTTGAAATTCTATCATTCGATCTGGTGGTAGACTTATCAAATCTTCTGGAAATACTTCTGGAAATTCCCTCACGACTGGGATATCCTCCATCTTTTCTTTCTCTTTCTTAATGTCAATAGCATAGGCAAGAAAACTAGTACATCCCTTCAAAAACATATTTCCGAGCCTTTAGAACTGAGATAAGACTGGAGTAGCGATCTCGTCGATCCCCATAAATTACAACATATCCTTTTTCCGGCAAATCTATATGGATCATCTTTTCATTGCAGATTATGTTAGCTTGATTTTCAGCTAACTAATCCATGCCTATAATTATATCAAATTCTCTTAATGGCAAAGGAAATAATTGTATTTAATGGCAAAGGAAATAATTGTATAGGCACTTCACACCCTTCTATATTTATAAAACATTCATCTATCCTTTCCTGGACTGAAACTTCACTATCCTTTGTTGTTTCCACAATTAAATCCTCACTTAACGCTTTAGATTCTAAATGTGCGCAGTTAACAAATGACGGTGATACAAAAGAACGATTTGCACCTGAGTCAAATAAAACTTTGGCACATAATGAATTACCTGTCACCACTTCAGGATGCTCTTCTGCCTTGCCTCTCATCATTTGAAAGGCTCTCCCTTTAGCATTTGACTCCCCACGTCTTATCTCTCCTCGACCACTTGGGTTAACACGATTATCCATTATCCCATGCCCTGTTGGAACATAACTAGATCCTCGGCCCCCAAAATATCCAGACCCTCGACCTCCAGCAAAACCAAACCCACGTCCCTTAGCTTGTGGACAATCAGCACTGACATGTTGAGAGGAATTACAAGTAAAACATCTTCGCGTCATTCGACAGTCTCGAGCTATATGTCCTGGTTCCTGACATTTAAAACATACTCGTGACTCTGTATTGCAATTTTCCTGATGTATTTTATGACATCGTATGCATGCCTTATCAGCAAACCTTGAGGCTGGTCTATTCAAATTTTCCATAAACCTTGGTCTATGGAAATCAGTCATTGTAACTTCCCCCTTTCTTTTCTCTCCAACCCTTTCTTGTGGTTGACAATTGATGTTTTGTTCCAGTATCTCAGCAGCATCAACTGCTGCTTGAAATGTTGTCGGATTCCTGGATATCACATACTTCGGAGATTATACTCTAAACCCCATATGTACTTTCTCACTTTACTGCTTTCTTATATAATGTAAGCTTCAGCAAACCGGGATTGTTCATATATAATCTAACTTTCTCATAATAGGTTCAACTATAACATATTCCCATGTTCACAGTCCCAGTGAAACCTATTATCATAACTTCCATACCTCTAGTTTAAGTCTAAGTATTTCGTAAATACCAGATCCCTTAAACTAAGGCTCTGATACGAACTGTAACAACCCACAATTTCCACGTACAGATAATCCACGTAATCATATTCATAACACAGAATATAATATTGTTTACAAAACATGGGCTAACAAAAAAAAACTTTGTTTAATACATTTAAATGTATCTAAACATCATCGTTCAAACTTTTCTCTTGCCTTTATCTTGTGATGTATGATGTCCTGCAAAACAAGTTAGTCCAACAACTGAGAATTAGACCCAAAAGGTCTAGTGAGTGTATAAATCTCATATAAATAACTTGCATTCCAAACTAATAGTTTAGAACCAAACCTGTATAGACACAAACATTTTATCGGATTTTGCTATAGATTCTTTTCGCGGTTACACCGCCATTACATCTCTCTCGCGGTTACACCGCCATTTCATCTCTCTCGCGGTTACACCGCCATTACATCTCTCTCGCGGTTACA